ACCATGTTAGCTGAAACATTAGGGGGCGCACTGCATCCACGTTTGCTCTCAGAACACCATTAGTGCATCAGGGCCTGAGCTCAATGGTCCACACCATTTCCAATGCCATCTGAGGATTTGCTGAGCTGGCTGGTATTGGATTCCTACACCCAAGTATCAGCCATTATCGTGGTGAAATAATCCAGATGGGTGCACAACTAGCATGAAGAGAAGCGAATGATGTTCATATATCCTGCAACATTTAAGTGCCACTCCGCTTTCATCAACAACTCGGGTGTGTGCCATGAAAACACACCACACTACCTGCCACCAGCCTGCAATGCTGACCAATGTTTCATATGGTTCTCCCCATACCCCATTCCTCCCATGAGCTGGCAACAACAGAACAGGCTTCATCACTAAAGGCAATGTTTCTTCCATACCTTCACTGGTCAAAATTTACATTCTTCAACTCATTGTAACTGTAGTTTCCTGTTTTTCCTGCTTGATATATGGTATATCTCAGACCTTAAAAATCATTCTTTAATCTGTCTCCTCCCCCTACATCTACAGTGACTGAAGTGCATTTAAGAGACTAAATCAATCAGGAATCAGAGCCTTCACCTGGACTCATCTGGTAACTGTTTCAAGGAAAGGGCAGGCTTTTCTAAAAGTTGTGTTACGCTCAATGTATTCTAAAAACACTAAATTTGAAACGCATCCTATCATATAGTTATTTACTTTTTTATTTTAGAATTAGGCACTATGCACTAATATATCATTCAGACAGAAATGTAGTTGTAGGAAAAAGAATTAACTAATAAAAATAATTTCCAACAAGACAAGACATAGTTTAACTGTATTTTGAGAGAATGAACAGAAATATTAAAAATTAAAATGGATGACTTCGTCCATTAACTTGAGCTCAGGGATAGAGCTGAAATAATAATGAAAAGTGAATATTAAAAAGACATAACATTCTGAAATGAATGACTTACTTTTTTCTGTACAATCCCATATCTAAGATCAGGTAGATCTGAAAATATGAAACTCTGAGCTTTCCATTCTTCATTGAAACAGCTCATCTTGGAACCAAAAAGAAGCTCCTTTAAGGCCTATAGTGGATCAATAGACAAATGCACCATTATTTATAAATACATGCGTACTCTATAGATGAAAGTCCGTTAAACTTTATCCATTGATAATGTATAGCCTCTACACTTACGATAGCCATTTTCTGATCTATGGGATGCAAGTCAGCCTTTGTGCAAAGACCAGAAGAAGCGACAGGGCCAGTAGACAGATTATGAAGGTCATCTTCATAATTAAAATCATCTGCAAAAGCACAGGACATCTAATCAAATCATGTGACAGTAACATGACATAATATTTTAGTATTTAAGATAAAACATCTTTTACAAAAATTGCAAGCAACAAACAATTTACTTTCTATAAAGGTGGCAGCTGAAGGATTCATTTTATTGTTAACTGGCATTAATAGGTAATTGACAATACATAAAATATTACTACTGAATGTTTGACTAGTGGTGGAATACAAGAACTATCCTAAAATTGTACAGCAATTCCCAAGGAAAATGGAAAACTCCAAAACTGAAGAGAGAAAAAAAAATCATTGAATACCCAGTGTCATATCAGCTTGGAGATGAAGACTGGGTCCTTTGGAATTGGTGGCTGATTTTTTTCTTAAAAGAAAGGACAAAAGATTTAATTGCAGAATGCCACATTCCTAATTTAATCTATCTTGTAATGATAAAACACTGGTTTTTCACTATTTTGCCACAAGTAATTCTCTTGAATCTCCTCTTTTGTTTTAATATCCATACTGAATATAACATAAGATAAACAATAATGAATTCAAATTTTGTTCATCCATGTAATGAAAAAAATTGAATAACCATATCATTCAGATAGCAGAAACGTTCATTTGTAAGTTATGTTGATTTTCCCACAAAAAAGAAACCATATAAGGAATTTAGTTCAAATTAAATTTCAAAGCAATATTATAGGAAAAAAATAGCAAACTGCTATCAAGGCAACATAAAAAGACTTACTTTTTATCCTGGCGTCTGTTCACTTCCGGTCTGTCACTTCTGTCCCCGTTCTTGTCATCCATCTTTAATCTTTCAGAACTGTCTAATCTTTCAAAACTGCCTCTGATGTCCATGTGGTCGCCCAGCAGAATGGAAGGTTTTACATTTTCTTGAACGCATTCTTGTTTTTGACATTCTGCTCCCAAAGCAAGCTGGCCTGGACTTTCCCTCCTTTCTGTACGGTTTGACTGAGCACTTAATGTCATTATATCAAATCTGCTGCCTTCATCTTTTGCCCCAGGAACACTGGAACCACAGAACTTGCGAGTCTCTCTTTTTTTGTGACATTCCTATTGGGGGGGGGGGGGGGGTTACTTACACATAAGTTTAAAAAACATGGACAACCAGCGTTTCATACTTTACGGTTTTCAGGTTGCTTACCTGTGCGTAGCTGGCAGTTGGGCCTGACATCATCCCACGCATAATGCGACTGGTTCTCCCTTTCCGTACGTCAGTGATGTCATTCTTTGAGGGTGCAGTCTTACAGCTAACATTGCAGTTTTCTTGACTAAATGGCACTGGGTGGCATATTTGGTCACTTTCTGACATGAAACTGGAGTCCAGGGAAGGATTCTGTTGCTTTGTGTGGTAAGTCTCCGATGTTTGACTTAAAAGGCCTTTATGCTGTGGGAAATTAAGATTATCCCTAAACAATCCAAAAAAGAAGAAAGAAAAATCAATACCAATTCAAATAACATGGCTTTTCTATCAGGGAAAATAACTGATGAAAATATCTCTATAAATTCATACAACACTACATTATTAACATAATTAGAATGTTTAAACTATATATCGGGGGTCTCCAACCCCAGCCCTGCACATTTTTGGGTGTCTCCTCATTTAACACACCTGATTGTACTTCTCTGCTAAATAGCCCCCATTTCTTCAGTTGAATCAGATGTGGTGGAACATGGAGAGAACTAAGCTGAGCAGGACTGGAGCTGGACACCCCTGCTATATACCACAATGTACAAAATAACTGAAATAACTATTGTAATTGTTGGTATCATATCACATGAGCAGTGTCCTTCCACCAGAGCTATGATACTGTGTTATCTTTATGTTTATCTTACCCTGTTCTCTGTTTGTTTTGTTCATTGTCAGAAGCATCTTTCACTTTGCTGTGTAACATTAGAGTAGGGTTTGACTTTTTCAAAAAAATCTGTTCATCACTGCAGCAATTCACTGCAGAATTATCTCCACTATTCCTGATGCATTCTTTCACAATAATCTCCAACATTGATTTTAGGGGAAATTCCTGCAACTGAAACATTAAAAAAAACAATAAGCTTGAAACATACAGTACATCCACATAACAATATAATGGCAAGATGACCAGAATGTGCTCACAGATCAATGTGCTTTATCATTATTCAATTTTTGTTACTACCTTATTCTTCTTATAAAGGGCTTCAAGGTGCAGAGTATGACGAAGATCTGCCCTGTTATTTATGCTTGAATCAGTCCGGGGAAATTCTTCATCCATGCAGGTTAGAGTCCTTTTAAGACCCTTCAAAAGCATCATGTATTCAAATCAACCTTTACCCTTGAACCTGACTCCATTTTGTAAATTTCCTCTTTTGTGTCAACCACGTAAAATAGTAGTAGTGGTAGTAGAAATAATAATAATAATAATAATAATAATGATAATAATAATAATTCTTATTAATATTCTTAATCATTAATCACTTATTGTAAGCAAGAGATCAGTGAAAATATCTCTTACATGTAAAGTGATTCAGACAGTAACTGCATAAACAGTTAAAATTTTTACAAGAAACACTACATCTCTGCATGCTTGTCGAAATCCATACAAGATAAATACATATTAGTGAGAAATCTGCCTTTTTTTTTTTCAATTATATGCTTGATGATAAGCTGACCAGCATCATTTCCATCATGCTGCCACCCGAAGTTAGCATGACCAGCATATAGCCCAAACACTAAAACAAGACTTTTTTTCGTATTACCAAGAGCTAAGTATTCCCCGTTAAGAGAGCAGTTAGTTAGCATTTACTGCCCACACCGTAGTTAAAAGCCTGTCGTTACCTTCCGGCTGAGATACTCTCTTACTAAGGATGCTGCCACCTCCTCCACGACTTTGGTCATTTTAAAAGTTAATTAAAAAACTGAAGTGCAGAATAAATAGCCAGCCGAGATATAGACATAACTGACCGGCAGAAAACGTAGGATGTCCCGCCTTTCCTCGGTAAAACGCTTCCCAGGTCTTGGGGTGTCCGATGGCAGCCGTCGCCGTTTCTATGGAAACACGACACCGTGTTTCATTGGTCCACATTACTGCCCGAACAGAAATGAAGGCTGTGATTGGATTGTTTTTCCAATAGCGTAAGTCTGACGTCAATAAATATGTGTTTATGTGTCGTAGTATTGGGGAGAGGGGAAAAAAAAGCATTGGGGGGATAAAAAGAAAGAATGAAAAATAGCTTTGGGGAGAATGAGACTGCCCGCATCCCATTGGGTGACACCAGGCTGTGACTGACAGCACGTGATTATACCGTCTTCCGCGGGTTGTAAGGCGTCATTTATCCGCTCACTGCATGTGACAGCATCCTGAAATATCCAAGGCAAGCATCTTTGACAACATTCATAAAAAATTAAAGCTATGGGCTCTTTATTATTTTCAATAATAAATTAGTGCCTGGCGCTGTTGTCATTTGTCCTGACAGCTGCTTTGCTAAAATCAGTGGATGATCGTTATATTCGAATGTCTGCAGCTCAATGCGTGTAACAGCCTCTGTATTGTATAAGCCTTTGTTACATAAAAAAGCAAGAATGCATTAAATTAATGTAGCTAATTTTAAATTTGCTTATTCTTTCGTTTTCTGTGCATTTAAACGGACAGCTGGGCAAAGGCGGGAGTCAGTCAAAAGTCAGTAAAATAAAAAATACTGGGAGAACAAACAGTTTTATTTAAAAAATAAAACGAAGAAAATACAAGCCGTACAAGCAAATACATAGAGTACAATGTATCACAATTTAACACTTTAATCTAAATTCGGTAGTATAATCCCCATTTTTCTCCCCATTTTTTGTGCACCTATTTTATTCACAGATGTAAAATATAAGATACTGCTTTATATAAATAGTAGTTTGTCAGCATATTATCATGACTATTTATGCTTATGTGTAAAGACAGCCCTTCTTAAAAGACTCCATGAGGGTTACTACAGAGGGCAGCAGAGGACAGGGCTTTGTGCTTCTACTTAGCTGGTGGGAATGCCTTCTTCTTCCTCCCTAACCACAGGGAGCTGGTTGCTGCTGCGGGCCTGCACATCTCCAGAGACTGTCTGCAGTGGGATACTGTCCACTGTACCTTGGACGAGCAGGTGAAAGCGAGGGTCAGTATCAGGGGAAGAGGAAAGTATACTGGAGTTTCTTTTCTATTGCTTAAGTACTGTAACATTTAAAAACACACTGCAACTAATATTATAATTTGAATGAAAAACAAAGACAATATTCATTGCATGTTTAATTGCACAATTACATTATAACCAGGTTTGTACATTTAATTCGATGTAATAAGAATATATCATGACATAGTGACATGCTATTTCAGTTTATTAGGAATACAAAATGACAATCACAATAAATCCATTGTTCAAGTAAAATATAGAAATAGGGTTTTTAGTAGAGATAGATTATAAAGCACATTATTTACCCCCTGGAGTCTCAGTGACTTCGCTGAGAGGTGGCACGGATTCTAGAGTGTTGGCATACTTTTTTGCTGCCTGTCGCTTGGCCTGCCGGGCCTCAATCTCCTTTTTGGTCCTCGGTATTCGACACTTGAAGATGCAGCACAGTGTTATTACTTAGTGAAGAAAAACAGAAACATACGGAAGCTTAAGCAGTGACAAAGACTTAGCTAGACCAAGTTTAAAAATTACGTGCGTTTTCAAAATTAGTCTGTGGGCTTAATGAGATGCAAATATGTTTGTGGTTTGTCCCATTTTAAGCTGGCAAGATTGAGTCCTATTTGAAAAAGTATGAAAAAATCAAATACTTTTTTCAATTAGAAGAGTGTTTTTAACGTTTTAAGCATTCGTACTGATATACTATTCATTTGTCTGTGTCATTCAGAAGAAGATAACCATTTCTGCTGGTCTCTCAGAGCTTGTTTTGGTGTCAATATTGCACCACAATTTTGTGGCGGAATAAATCATTATTTTAGTATTAAAAATTTACATAAAGTCAGTAAGGATATTCTGTTTATTGGCAAAACAGTCAGCAGTTGGCTCAATAACAGTTTCACAAACACAAGGCATTCGGTTAACATGTTTCAGCAGAAAATCCCCCATGTCTTCTTGGCTCTTCTGCAGAGATGGGGGTCACTTATGTGTTGCCTTGCTTTGGTTCTTCTGGCCTATTTAAGTTCTGTGGGGTTGATGTCTGGAGACTGGAAGGCCAAACCACTAGTTTGATTTTTTGCCTTCACCAGATAATTCTTGCACTATTTTGAGGTGTGTTTGGGTCAGTATCTTAATGAGTAATGGAGGACTGCGCAATCAGCCGTAATCCTGGTGGAATCATGCTATCATAGACATGCTATCATGGGGCTGTGGAGACCATGCTGTCTACAGGGCCACTGATGACCTTCTTATAATAAGATTGCATGCCTTGCTAATGAAAATGCTTACAAGCTTTTAATAAAGTAAAATAATTGTGTATTTATGTTTAAATGGTTTAATCTAATGAAAATAAGACAACCTCCCTGAACATCTACCTCAACTGCTTATCCACTAGAGGGCAGAAAAATTTAGAAATGCCAGATAACCAAACTGCACGTCTGGACTGAAGTATCTGGATGAAACCCACACAAGACAGGGAGAATATGCCCAGTGAGGAACTTTCCAACCCGGAAGTGTGTGGTAACAGTACTACCCACGGCTTCACTCTGCTATTGAATATAACTGGTAATTGTTTGTTAAAATGGACTTACTGATTGAAAGTACGAATATTGAAAAGACACCAATGACTTGCCACAAACGCAGACCCCAAAACACAACAGTTTCTGATGTAACAGGCTCTGTCTTCTTCTTTGTTGGCCGTGTTGTAAAAAACTAGAAGAAAAAGATATTCTATTAGAAAAAGTAGCTGCAGGAAAAAGAAGATTTATTTAAAATAATATTTAGGACAATCTATTGATTTTTTTCCCCATGACCCTCTTTAAGATAAGTGGTTGGAAGATGAATGGATATATGAATAATTAATTATTTTTCATAAATATTAAGGAAAATTCAAGATTGATTTTAGGTTTCAAGGTTCTAGGTTACTTTGTTGTCATCAGCAGCTTCATATATGTACAATGAGTGATGAAACAACGTTTGTCCATGGCCCCAGTGTACTGTAACATATAGTGACATATAGTATACTTAACATCACAGTAACAGGGCATGCAAACAGGCAGTAAATAAAAAGTGCAGAGATTTTTACAGTTTTTAGCAGAGCTATGCAGTGTAAGTGGTTATGTATTATTTTCTGTCAGATTACTGTTTAATTCAGGGTTAGTTCAGGATACCAGCCCATTCCATGCCACCAACACACACTGTCTTTGGACAGCGGGAGGAAACTCAGGTACCCAGAGGCCCCTCTGTGACTGTGAGACTGTGTGAGCACACAGTTGGATGTGAACTTAAGAAGCAGTAGTGCTACCTAATGAGCTGACAAGTCTATTCAAAGGCTGAAATTACCTGTAAATACTAACATTCATAGTGCAGCAATGTTTTGTATCTGTTTTCATTATTATAGATGATGGGCTGGCTAACCCTAACCTACAGTATTTTATTGTATTGTACAAGTGTAAACACAGTGTCAGAATCAGTCTGGGTTGCATGCCAGAGAAATGGCTATGAATGGTATCCTAGGTGCAGATAACAATGGAATAAAAGAAAAACCCTCATATCCAGTGACTTCTGGCCCACAATATTCAATTGCTTCATAAATTGTGGTCCAAGAATAATTCAATTAGAGTAGCTAGATCTGTTCCACTAAGCAGAAAATGTATATCCACAGTAGAATAATCAATTGTCCTGCATTACAGTAGCATTATTTGATTGTATATTGTAGGAGAATGACATTAAACCTGAGTAGTCGTGTGTTATAGGGAGATTGAAGAGGGTACAATGCCAATGTTGTCCAGCTATGTAATTTAATTTGTCCTAAAAAGCTGTGGGAAAACAGGTCAATATGTACTGGAAACCTGAATTCTTCCAGGCATGCTGGATTCTGTCAACATCCCGAGAATTCAACACCAAAGTAATTGTACCCTTCGACTGTAAAGCTTGTTTTCAGCACCCCTGCTTACTGAAACATCAAATGATGCTACACATTTGTTTGTGTTGAATGATGTGATGAACAAACAGCATCCGATGGCATTTTTGTGGCTAAACATACCCTTTTAAGGAGAGAGGTCCAAGGAGAATGGCCAGATAGGAAAGCCACAAGTGAGACAATAACAGTTCGGTATGACAGTGGTGTGCCCAAAGGCTTCTCTGAATGCACAATTTGTCAAGCCTTGAAACAGTTCAGGAGGCAAAAGTGGGTCCGACCCGGTTCTAGCTAGATGTACCCAATAAGATGCTGTATTGCAATTTCTCAGATATTACAGGCTTTGCTGTCTTGGTTTATAGTTGGTTTTGTTACTGTTTTTATATCTGCATATTTAGTGTATATAACTATTATTGTTAATTACAAAAAAAAAACCCTCCTGCTTATGTTAACGTTAGTGCTGTTTCTTACGATACGATTACGGATGGAGCAGTATATGCCTTTAAGACTTGAATGGTGGTTTAATGTCCAGTTCGCCGCATCTTTATCATTGCTGAATCTCATTTGAGCACCCAAATGGCTTTGTAACTAACAGACCTGCTTATTCACAAGCAAAGACAAAGAGAATTCCCAATATTTCATAAAAATATTATCTCATATTATGTGGGTATTATCCATAATTGCACAATATGAATTATTTTCTATATTATTTAGTATTTACAAATATTATTTTAAACCAATAGGCGTTGATTCCTTAACGTGTTAACTAAATGCATAAAAATTGACGGTAAAGACGAATAAATATGTAAAACAAATCACTTGTCAAACAGTGTTATGAAAAAAAATACACGAGGAAGGAGGAAAATGTTTTAAAAGGTGGTCTTCAGCGAGACATTGGAAAAGGTAGCTAATAATGCATTAAAACGCTGAATAAAGGACGGCACCATCGCAGTTCACCATCTGTTACATCTCGATGGTGTCTTAGATCTTTATGAGCAGTTAGTCTGTTCTCTTACCTCCGGATCCAGAACTTGAGCGGCCACAGTAGACGTGTAGAGTGATAGCAGCATTGCCATTGAATGTAGGAACGTAGGAGGTGAAGAAGGGAGTTGGTGCCTCACCATGTTCTCTTGTCTCAGCGCTCTCTATAGCCTCCTCACTCGGTCTGCTGAGAGATGCACCCACAATGAACCAGAAGATTTATTATCCGAGGCCGAGCAGTAACCTTGCATCTGTCGCAATCCTCTCCCCTTTCTTCTTCCATGGGGGACAGAAGCATTGCTTGGATCCACTCCCCCCAGCTCAGTGCCTGCCCTTACGTCGAGAGCCTATTAATTAACCAATTCAGTGGCCATTACTGGCCGTCTCTTCTAGAACGATTGGAAGGTTTGCTGCATTGAATAGCAGTAAAAACAATGAATAGTTGAGGGTAGAATTGCCTCAGGAGGAAAAAAAAAATCAGATCTGCTTTTTTCCTTTTGTCATCCTTTCACGCATCATGTTTAAATGTTGGAGTGCAGTTGCAGTGTTTTTCTATACCAAAACATCATTCGTATATTATTTTTAATAATGCAGCATTTGTGGGATATGTGTCAGTCATATTAGCCAATGTATGATCGTGTTAGTAGAATGTGACGGTGTGGTTGAAAATCGCTTTGGTTTCTATCCCACTTCACAGAGTTCAGTTCAGATGCACGCAGGCAGATACCAGGCCTGTAGAAAGGACAATTTGTTAATTAGCTGCCAGAATACGTAATCATCACTATGATTATAGAAAGCAGAACTTGTGACTGGGGAAGGTTCTGTTGCCAAAGGCGAATTATTCAGAGGTCAGGACCAGTAAGTAGCAACACCAAGTAATGCTGAGAGCCCTGGAAGTAGAGAAATACCGTGTCAATAGAACACTTGTAGTATTTCTTGTGTAGGTACTAATAAATAATTGGTAACGCTTTACATTAACTGCACCTTCATGATGCCTTTATAATGCATTCATAGAACATTCAGTGCCCCTACATAATGCAATAGAACATTCATAAGAAGCATGTAAGTATGCCTTAATATCCTAACATTATAATCATTTAATCTGATAATGTTTGTTATTAATGTATATTAAAGCTGTTAAGTTATTTTAGGATGTTAAGGTATAGAAAAATGCTGACTTTGAGTGTTCTATAAATGCATTATGAATGTATTATGACGGTGCACTGAATATTCTATTAATGCATAATGAATGCTTTATGAAGGTGCAGTTAATGTAAAGTGTGACCAAATAATTATTAAATAATTGTATAATTGTGGTAGTTATATGGCTTAACTAGGCATCAAGAGACCAGTGGGTTTGTGATGAAATCCCTGATGTCAGTAAAACTGTACAGATTGTGATCGTACTAATGTGACTGTGTGCCTATAAGTAATCTTATTGTACTGGCTGTATTTTGGTACAAGGCCTGTCTGCTAATTTTATCAGTGTTTTGTTAGCAAGGTTACTTTTCCTCTCCCATCCACCTCTTCATCAACAATGAGGCCCTGGCCTGCAATTGGCTGGATGTGTTGGGGGTGGACTGTTCCGGATACATATGGAGCGCTTGAGCTTGAAAAATCCAGCAGCATCTCTGTTTTGTTTAACAGTATCTCAGTCCCTTTTTGCCTTTTCTCCCTTATTGCTCTCAAGCCTTGTATGTCCTTCTTTCACCTGTCTTGTTCATCTACATTAGTTAAAGTGGATTTAACATTTGAAATCTATTTGGAACCAAAATTTTCACCTAGATTCATGTGGTTTCAAGGAAACAGCAGCATAATATTGAATGGTGCTTTTGCTGTTAGCTTTCGGCTGCGTATGTTTAAATACCAAGAGCTATGTAGCACACATGATACAGATACAGAAGCTGTACTCTATAAACTGATCACTGCGGTCTTAGCAACAAGAATTGCAAAAACATACTGATGCAAAAAAGGTTTCGCCACTGTTGTACCACTGCATGTGAAGAAACATGTGTGGCACATACACTCACCTAAAGGATTATTAGGAACACCATACTAATACAGTGTTTGACCCCCTTTCGCCTTCAGAACTGCCTTAATTCTACGTGGCATTGATTCAACAAGGTGCTGAAAGCATTCTTT